TCGCGGCGCGCACGGTTCTACCACCTAGTGACCCTGACGCGCTATCTCGCGATCCGGTGAGCGTTTCGCGCCGCTCTTTCGCTGGTCACCTCTTTTGTAACTCCCCGGTTCAGACCGCGTCGCTGTTATTCTCGCGGCGTGCACGGTTCTACCCCCTCGTGACCCTGACGCGCTATCTCGCGATCCGGTGAGTGTTTCGCGCCGCTCTTTCGCTCGTCACCTCTTTGGTGACCCCGCGGTTCGGACCGCGTTGCTATTACTCGCGTAACTTTTCCGGGTTCGGTACTTAGTGACCGCGTTGAAGGTTGTGTGTGGCTCGACCGCCGTACTTTCCCGCGCGTTACCGCGATCCATGCGCTTAAGCAAACAAAAATCATAGTTTAAGGTCAGGCCGTGTGCTTTATTGCTGCTAATCAAAACAAATCAAAATTGGATCGGAAAGGAAACAAATGTAAAATTTTAATAAAGTGAGCCGCTGCTCGGCGACCGCTGTCGCAAACCTTAAAACTAAGTGCGCCGGACGAATCGAAATAACTTAAAATAAATATAATTTCGCGTTGCTAATGAGGGAACAAAAGAAAAGTCATGGGGCTTGGGCTCCCTATCGAGATCCGTCCTCGGAGCGCCATGGAGGGCTGGCCTTAGGCCGGGGCATCTTCTCGTCCTTCGGAGTAGTCCTCCCCCGAAGAAACGCTCCGGAACTCTTCCTCGTCCGGCTCGTCCTGTGCCGCGGATTGCGGCACCGCCGTCACAACGACCGTCTCTAGGACGGTGGTCCGGGTAAGCTGTACCTGGATGGCACAGTCGAACGCCTCGGCCGCTCGCCTTATCGCCTCCATCTCCTGCGGCGAGCCCCATTGTTCGGTGCTCGTCGCTGTACGCACCGCCTGGTGCGTAGTGACGACTCGCGAAGTATACGGGACCATGTCCCATGTGTTGATTTTCTCGACGCGTCGAGGTTGCGGCGTCAGTGTGCGCTCCGTGCGCTGTAGCTGCTCCTGCGAGAGTCGCTCCAACACCACTCGGGGCTGCGCGAGAAGCTGCGCGCGCACCGTCTTAGCGGACGGGTTCAAAGTTAGGTAACCTAACCTTATATTTATCACACATGTTTTAAAATAACTTGGGTTCTATTACCGTGACTACAATATGTCAAAAAGTTAATGATAGACAACTGACGTTATATAGTATTTGGCTGGGTTGTCCGTCCGCCTTAGGCATGTGCAGATGTGCAGTGTATTAATCTCATGTGTACAGATATATAATACACACTGTGTTATTATTATAGAATAGCTGTTAATCCACCGCTATCAGAAATTGTGTTTTTTATATATCTCTATATCTGGCTTCGAAACTATAGACTCTACTGATTTCATCTTTTGTACAGTCAATCTTTTTCTAATTGCACATGTGAGTAAAAGTACATCGTATTTACATCAATATATATGTTGTTGAAATTTTATGAGATTACTCATTTTCTTATTCCTAAGAAAATGAGTTTACGGTCGAATGTATTGTATATATATTGTTTAAATAACTGTTTAACAGGACATGAGTGACAATAAAAGAAAACGAAAGCAAGAGCTAACACGACTACAGGTGAAGCGGCACAGAAAACATAAAGCTTATTGTAGTACATCTGAAAATGGAAATAAATCTGACAGTTCATCTGCTTCAATGGCTTCTCCTGCTGCTGCTTCAATCTCAAATGAGCAAGAATTCTTTATGGACATCGAACAATTCATATGATGAAAACACTGCAGTGAACAATAATAATGAAAATTTAAACTTAACGCAGGATTCCATGAACAATATAAATGATGAGAATATTCTCAGTGACAGTATTGGGGACAATGATCAAGCTGATTTCGAAATGGATGAACACAGTAACACAGATGAAATGGATGAACATAGTAACACAGATGAAATGGATGAACACAGATGAAATATAGATTTATTAGAACCCAGTATAGATAATGAGGATGAATTCTATGAATATAACGATGAATTTGATGAGATCACAGAGCTACGAACGTGGGCATTGTCTGGAAATCCTACTATACCTCACACACGACTTGATGAATTATTGCGTATCCTGAGGACTCGTTTACTTCCAAATTTACCAAAATGTTCTAAAACTTTTTTAAAAACAGCTAGTACCAATTATGATATCCAAGTCAATGAAGATTCTAGCGAGTTTATATATTTTAGTTTAAAAAATATACTGCAAATTTCTATTAATCCAGATTTCCACACAAATAATGTTGTCAATTTGAAAGTCAATATAGATGGTGTGCAATTATTCAAATCAAGTTCAAGACAGTTTTGGCCAATTTCTCGCGTCAAAAGGGAAGTTATTGAAATAAAAAACATATTGGACAATTCACAGCTGCCAGGACAAAATGCTGCTGGACAATTGGAATCAGACGCAGAAGATGACAAATTTAAATTTCCCCTTACCACATACGACGTTTTTACAGATTTTGATGAGAAACTCAAAACTGATTAGGCCTATAGGAGAAAAATTGTATGTTATTTTTTCTATTCATAACTATTGTAATACAATTGAATACTGTATTTAAATATTAATTCTTATTATTATTTCCTTTTATTGCAGAGAAAAAGAATAAGGTCTCAAATTAATGTCAAACAGGATACTTCAAAAAATTTAGGTGAAATCGTAAGGTTTTTCATGATTAGATTAGTTGCTCTGAAACTTACAGCTGTTAAAAAGATGAAGGACAAAGAACTATTCAAGGATACGCATCTTTATAAGGTGCTAGAAGATACAAAAAAGATTATTTCGATCTTCTTATCTCATTAATTTTTTCTCACCATCTATAATGGTGGATATTTTTGAATTCTAGGACTATTTTTAAGTGCTCATAAAGAATCTATTAACTCAAAACAATTTCAACAACTCATGGGCAAAGTTTTGAATAATGCAAAAGACTGGGACAAATTTCGCTTTGTACGGCAACAAGAGATGATCAAAAATAACAATATATTAGCCAAAAAGAAAAATAAGAATAAAGACAAGCTGAAGGGAATGCCAAAGAATAATCAAGGTAAAGATGAGAGTGATGAAGCAAACGAGAGCGAATAAGGCAAGCGAGAAACAATAAAAATAACTGTGAAAATAAAGATATAAGAGTAAAGATTATATATTTTATAATATTATTATAATATTACAATATTTTGTTTTTTATAATTTTGCGTTTTTATAATAGTTATATGTGACGGTTTTATTGTTCGCACGTCAAAGAAAATTTACTTTTCGTTTTGGTTGTAAAAGTTTTATGTTATTGTGTTATCCTCTGTAACGTCCATACATTGGATGAATATAAAAATATATGTCTTCTAAATAAACAATAAATATCACAAAAGTACAATTAATAATAGTCATTTCAGGTTCTGATAGTGCCCTTATATCTTGCCTTATGAGGGTTCTTTTTCTTTATCCTGATAATGTCCTGATATCCTGAATATTATGCCTAAAAGGGTCCTCATAAATTCGCTTGACATGGTCCTTATTAGGTAAATGAAATCCGGTTCTGAACATGCAATGCCTTACACATCTTGTCAGGACCATGTCAGGTGACTTTACCAGGGCCAGATTATGTATTATGGCACACCTGATCTGGACCTGTTCAGACAGTAACTAAAATTTCTACTCGCTTATATTCACCCGACATAAAAAAAAATTATTTATTTTGAAATTTTATTACTATTTTTTAACTAAATTTGTTTCTTAAAGACGCAGTCTATAAATATTTTCTGTATTTGAAAAAAACACCTACCTTCGATCTTTGACGTATGTTGTCATGTACGGCCCTGATCAGATATGAATGAGGCATGCCTGACTACGGCATGCCAGATCAGGTCCTGACTGGTGCCATATCAAGCATGCCTGGTTATATATAACCAGGTAAGCCTGATAAGCCTGATAATAAGAAATAATCAGGACCTTTTTGAGTATCCCTTAATACACAAATTTTCAAAGGTCATCAAAATTAATTAATAATTAATCTGATATTATTAATATAATATTTATAATAAAACATTGAAGGCCTTTTTTATTCGCTGGGTCGGGTAACACCGACAGGTAGGAATTACGAGAACGGGTGAGTCTTTCGCGTGGTGAATCGTGCAAATAATTTTGATCGTAAGTTATAGTAGGTAATTAAACAATTTATTCTGCCCGTTTTCTTTACAGGTGCTCCGATCGGTTCCTCCCGGACTTGGAATTTTGCCGCCCACGTACAAACGTGAGTATAATTCGTGTCGCTAATAAACTGTACAATTGTCTTTGATGACCGTATTCTCTGATATCGCGAAGCGGAGTCTCCTCGTCCTCCGGCTTTTCTGCCCTCTTATAGTCGAGCTCGTTTCCCTACTCTTGCCCTGGCCCGGCCAATTATCACGTACCCGTCGCATGTGGCCTTTGTACTCTCGTTGTCTTGATTCTCGCTCGCTTTCGCGTTCAAATTGTAATTGCTTGCATCTGTTCCCCTGCGTACAATAGATTCGGTGTACATTCCTCAGTTTTTAGGTGTTTTCGACGTTTGTCAATTGTAATCGCTCGCACATGTTCCCCTGCGTACAATAGATTCGGTGTACATTCCTTAGTTTTTCGGTGTTTTCGCCGTTTGCGAATTCGCATAGAAGCACGTACGCTTTCTGGAAAATTCTTGTTTCGAAACGGTCGGGAGCGAGGAAGTCTGAGGCGAGTGAATCGAACGAGTCGAAGCTCTGGTAAAAGTGAGCTTTATTTCTTTAATACATATACATGATGACTTGGCATATCAGCGCGTGAATTGTGGATAGGGCTTTATCTTTAGATTGCTCTTATGCCGGCGCACAGGGGCGCCGGACTTCTCAAAAAAATACGGTGGCCTAAAGCGGGAGCCGGTGGCTGGCTGCTCGCTTAGCCACTGTTAATTTCTCGCGGTTGTTATTCGCGTCTATTGCTTTTCCCGGAGTCGGGGGAGTTCTATCCAGGGGCAACTCCGGGATTTCAAGGGAGGGCAAGGCCGGTGCAGTTTTCGTCTCCCTGCTCCTCCTCTTCTTCTTCTTGTGGTCCTCGGTCTGGGTGCCCACAGATCTCCAGGAATTCGGAGGTAGGGGCCTTTCTGCCCTCAGATCGCCAGGCACAAGTGTCAGCCCTGGTGGGCGTGTGATTCGCCTGTGCGACTCGGGGATAGTCACCCTGATCAAAGACCACCACAGCTCTGGTGGAGGTGCAGGTCCGGCAGCTGTTGGTCGTCGTGGTGGCGAGGGCCTCCTGGCTCTCCTCCTTGGTCTCGGTCGTCGGCGGCCTCTGCTAGAGCGGGCAGAGCTGCCTGTGCTACGACCACCACGGACCGAACTTGTCCGGTCCGGCGGGTGGGAGGGGCAGACTCTCCCTTGCTTAATAGCAGACGCAAGTCGGTGGCACGTCGTTCCGAGGAACGGTGCGTGGATTCCGCTCGCTCCAGGTTGGAGCGGAATAGGCAAGGTTCGTCTCAATCACGATCGCTACAGCCGGTATATTTAACACCCGGGAGCCTCAACGTGAGAGAAGAGAACGTGCTCGTCCTGGGCAGGCTCGCCCTTATGTATCTTTCTTGCCGAATTTTGATTGCGAGTAACAACAGCCGCCCCGCGGCGACAGGTGTTACTCGCGCTAGCGGCGCGCGAGTGGGGTGGTGCCACGTGCGCCCGGCCGGGCGGGCTTGAGCGCGCGGGCCGGGTTGCCGCACTCGCAGGCGCGCCGTTTGGGGAACGGATCCGAACAATTCTCGTCTCGCCGCTTTCACAAATATTCCATTTGGTTCTACCCGAAGTTTCGTTTCCTCCCCTATTACGATTTTATTTCGAACATTCTTCTGTCGTTCCGAATATTGTTTTATTATGGAAACGGAATTTTGCGTTTACAATTTTGAAGCGTTTCGCTATCGCCCGTGGTGATGTTTTGGTGACGCTATCCGCACACCTGGGTCGCCCATGATCGTTCGCGACTTCCGGTTTGCGTTTTGCCGTTTCGCTCATCGCATGTCGACGGCCTTTCACTATTGTCATTTCTCTGACCCATTGGGCCACTTCATCTCGCGATACCTCGCGGGAAATGTCCGGTTCGAGATATCGCGACCCGGTGGTCGGATAACGTCGCGGGTGGTACCGCTGTACCTTTTGAGTCCCCCTGAACCCTAATCCGTCGTCGCTTCTCGCGGCGGGGTTTGGGTTTGCGATTTTGCGATCCAGTAGCTCAACTGCTCTGGAGTTTGTTTTGTCGCTCTCACGAGACCCGTACGCGCGCCATTTTATCGAAAAACTCGATTGATACATCTCGGGTTTAACTCCTTGGTACCCGCCAACTAATCGCGCCGTTATGCAGGACATCACCCTTTTTTCATCGTCCTTTGCGCCATGGGATGTTTCTCGGTCCGCCCGTATCGGCCGTTTGTGTGATTGCTATCCGGATGATCAATCGAGTTTATCGCTTTCAAAATACCCTGTAATATTGATCTCGTCTCATATCAAGCGTCGCCGAATCGACAACTTTGCGCGCCGCGTAGAATTTATTCCGCCGCCTTTCCTGATGTTTAAACGCGTGTCCCCTTCGTCATAGGGGGAATGGTCGAAGAAAATTACCGATCATTTCTCCACTATTTAATCCTCTTGTCGCAAATCGGCCCTTAACTCGTTAATCTCCTCGAGACGCTTTTACATTGCGCTTTACGCTCGCGCTTCTCCTTGTAGCGTCGCTTTTCGTGTGGGCCGGCCCTTAAGCCTTACTGGTTTGTAACCTAAAGTACGGTTGACATGACCGAGTTCGCCACTCAATCGCGACACTCGAGCCCGCGTAATCCGTATTGTTTTATTATTTACTAATCCGAAGAAAATGAACCTTTGTACACCGAATATCTCGCTTTTGCTGCGGAATTAACAAAATAAATGCGTTTAATCTTTATTGATCGACGTTTCTCACATACTCCACGTCATATTATCTGAGTGTTTAGTTTAGCAAATGAAGAAGAATTGTATTAATGGTACTGCACTTGCTACCATTATGCGTAAGTGTACCGCACGCACAAAGAAACGAAAAAGAAAAGAAAAAACGAAACTTAAACTTATTTTATATCTGACGCGTTGTCTTTTCGCGTCGCTCGCGCTGTCAATTTTGACAATAGAAACTATTCTTAACGTTGAACCCGAATTGTTAACGCCAAATAAACTTTAACTCGCGTAACATAAAATAATACATCATTGGGTTATTAAGAACTACGAACCAAACATTAAGAGACTGGCGTCTCTGTGTAGAAAACAAAATAGATAAAGCTAATTTGCAAAAGAAAATTGTTGCTACGAAATAGAGTTAATTTTTCTCTTTATTACTTTTTTTACAGGGTTGCCTGGCGCTTCGCTTCTCGCGCGCCGTCGACCGCTGCCCGCTCAGTGGACTTACCGCCCTCTTCCTTGATCGCCGCGAGGCCTCTTCTCACCGCCTGCTTCTTGGACGCCTTCCTGGCCTTCATCAAAGGCTTGGCAAGTATCACGTTATCCGTGATTATTGGCTGCTGTCGCTGCTCCGTCGGGGCTGCTCCGAGCGCAGCTGACGGCTGCAACGACACTGACCGAAGGCTCTGAGCCCTTCGTTCCACCGATTTTACCGGCCATCGCTTTCGACTTCTCCGCAACAAACGCACAGTTGCGAGAATCTCGAGAGTCGCTATCGTCATCGTCTCTTTTCCCGCGCTTTTTGTTTTTGTACTCACGCGCGATATGACCCTTCTCTTTGCACTTAAAACACTGAATGTCTTCGCGATCTCTCGGCTTGCGCATCTTCTTCTTCTCCTTCGAGCTCGATTCATCACCTATTTTTCTTAAATGCAGCAAAGGCCCCAGGAACTTCATCCTCTGCGGTTAATCGAGCTTCCTTGCGAAGAAGTCTCTCTTGCAGATTCTCGAGAGTCTGCCGCTCTGGATCGACACTGTCCTACGCTGTTTGCAACGTC